AGTATAACGAATAATGCGTAATGTTACTCATTACTAAAAAGTAACGCGTTACAAATTAGGAGTTATTTTTTTCAGTAACGAATGACTTTTTCAATCCATTACAAGTAACGATTGACTTTTCTAACTCTGATGTTAGCATTACCATTATAAAAAATTCACAATGTCATTACCAAATCGTTATTATAACAAGGTAACGAGATCAACACAGTAACGGCGTTACAAGTAACGCGTTACTTGCCAGCTCTGTAAATTATTACGATGATCATTAATTGCAGTTCAATTTGGAAACGTAATTCATGCATAAATATGTCTCAGGAACTTATTCATAAAAATTTTCGTTAAGTCCATTAATTCCTCTTTCTCGAGCCAGTTCATTATCCTTTTATCCGTGATCAGTCTATTCAGATAAACTTGGTAAAACGCTGCACTCTTTATTATAAACACTGCACTATTTATAATACTTTTCATTTAGAAATACTGTACGAAATGTGTAACGGAGATTTCAATCCAAGATGGCTACACCTATTAACTGCGCAACATGCCATCAACGTGTAAGGCGCGCAAGACGGCTTCTTAGATATTTTAGAGAAACACGTAAAACACTATGATTAACTATAAAAGTCAGCCGGTGATAATCCAGAATTTGAGAAGAATTATAAAACAAAACCGACTTGACTTGTAATCGCCTCAACGTCCCGATATCAAGTGACGCCTTCTCGACGCGCGACTCTTCTTGTTCTCCTCCCGCGACCGCGTATTACTACGCCTCATTCTTATTGGAAAATCATCCATATTCTTACAAGGGACATTCCATGGCTGTCCGAAACCGATTTGATTCTCCTTGAAATATGACATTAAACATAAAAATCTAAGAGACAGAATTCTTTTATATGTGCGTGGTAATTATTGCGAAAAGACTAAGGCTGCGTTCCACTTAAAGCTCGCAATGCTCGCGAGCATCGTTTGTCCTCATTTAACATTTGATAAACGACAAGGATGAAATGATTCCACGAACATGTGACCGTTAAGTAGAACGCTAAACCTCACCAATAACTTTAATTTTTATATATCATTAAAGTCGACATAATACTGAGTCATGCACACTTTGAAACACGTGGCGGATTATTCTAGCTAGTTTCTATATGACGCTTTAAGCATTGAAATCTTATTTTCAATTACGTTCACTTTCCACGCGAAGCGAGTTCGATCCCTCTTCTCCCCCCCCCTCCCCTGCGAAGAGGCGCACGAATTTTCATGTGAAACGAGGTTCACCCTCCCCTTGCCAAGGGAGATAATGGTTACGTTTACAGCGTGCATTTAGGCCTATACAATAGGTGTCCTTGTTTATCAGGTTAAACAAAGACACCTATCGTATAGGTCGCGAACTAAGCGCACGGTGTAAACGTAGCCAATGTATTCAATCTAGACCCGTTTCTACAATAGATTAACTTTAATCTCGAATCAATTGTTCTTCATTTTTTTTCTTATTCTTAAAACTAAAAGAAGATGAAGAGATAATTGAATCGAAATTAAAGTTAAACTGCATTGGAAGAAACGGATATTAGGGACGTAAAATAATCGTCAAATTCAATTTGATAATTACAGATTAAGATTAAATTACGGTAAAATGATAATTTATTGGTAATTTTGATAAAACTTGTTTTTTAATAGCTTCATGCATAAATAGATTTATTTATGTTTTTCACATTAACGCATAATATAAAACAATATTCTTCTAATATTCGTATCGAGAATATAAATCGCTGATTGAATAATAATAGGACTGTTCACTAATCTAAACGTAAAATCTAATCAATGCTAAAACCCGTTTTCAATATACGGTCCCCTAGAGATTTGAGACAGGGATCAAGAAAGCAATAAAGATTAAAAATTGCACTATCTATTTTTTACAATTCTTTGTTTTATATTTTAAACTCTAGTTTTTTATTGAAGTACTCAAAATTATATTATATTTCTATATAGATATTTCGCTAGTAGTGCAATTACAGAAACATATTACCTTTTATGTATAAATATGCCTTAGTTTTTACTTTGACAGTTTAGTCGCTGAAATAGCAAGCAAATAAATGAAAATTTAATTATAAAGTAAAAAATATAAAAATACAAATAAAAAAAGTCATAATACAATGTACAAAATAGTTGAAGGTTACAGTACTCGTTCCATTTTTTCAGAATCCTAATAAAGAACTTATTTGAAGTTATTTTTTATACAATACATTATATTGTATACACCAATATACACTACGCGCATACTATAAATTAAAGCATCACCTCTCACATCTTCGAAAAATGGGTAAACTTCAAAGAAGTGTAACTTCTACAAAAATGGTCAAAATGAGATTTTAAAAAAAGCATTTTGTAGCTTGAAATCTCTACTTTCCTAAGCTGTACAATGAAATAACGATTCGGCTGATTTTTACGGAACTACAAGATTATAAAAGAAGATCCGTAAAATCTCAAAATTTTTTGTAAACTTTGCACAGTTTCATGCCGTGAATGAGAAGTCAGGCACAAATACAATTCACAGCTTTCGAAAGCGTGATCCTTTACCTTCAATTTACTTTTTTTTAACCTCTGTACGATTTTTTTTTACCGAGTTATTCAACATTGAAGTAAAAATGGTCCCTTTGACTTTGACTGCTCATAAAAGACGAACGGAGTGACGTACAGCATTTTTTAAACAAGCAAAAAAAGTTGAAAGTTTTCTCTTTAAGATGCTTTTATCAATTTTTAGACACAGATAAGCTTTTTTTTCTCGCGGCACTTCGAAGCGACATCCCGCGCGCATTGGATTACACTTATTGATGTTTATTGTAAGATTCATAATTCGCAATAACGCCCACCCACTGTCACGTTCTTGAAATTCCTCGAGAGATGCCAACGTGGGTTCGATGACGTGCCGCTCGTACCATTCACGCAAGTTCGATGTTTGGAAAAGTTCATAGTTTTTAGTATTAATACTTTTATTGGCACGTTTATCACCCGTCACAAATTCGCCGTTAAATATGGTGTTCACTTTTATACAGTTGTGTCTTTCTATTGTGTCTTGCACTCGCTCGAGCACTACACTGCTGATATCTTTTAAAAATCATCGCGGCTCAATTTGATCCGCGTTAATTACCGCACCGGTTAAAATTCGATTTTCAAACGCTGCATCGATCTCTCGCCAAACAATAACGCTTTCCGCGTTATTGTCACTGTTATTGCTAGTGCTCGCGTAGTCACCACCAAAATGTAGAAATCGTCTCTCTAATTCAGTCTTCGTACCCTCGAGTCGTGCAATTGTAGCGATTAAAGATTGTCTGTATCCAGTGGAGAGCCATGGACGCTTGACATGATTGCATTCTTCAAGCTTTTTAATGAATTCATTACACTCTTCTATCCACGCGAAACACTCCTTCAAGCTAACAATTTGGTGGGATCGCTTCGACAGATCATGTTCTGCTTGAATAAAATCTCGATCCATATTTACAACGATTTATTAACAGTAAGACGAGTTCGCTCTCATAGATTTCAACGTACTGTAATCTGGTACATTTCTAGACTGAATTTATTTTCGTCTGTAACCCTCTCTTTTCAGAGTAGAGCGTTATGCGCTCATTTTCAAAGTATACTTAAAAAAAACTCTCTACCCTCATAAAAATTTATGAAAATACAATTCTATCGAGTTTCACTTATATTTACACTTCTACTAGCCTTGAAACAAATTGTTATGTCCGTCCGTCAGTTCGTCCGCACGACCGTCTCACGGAATCCGTTCGCGTCGCGAACGCGCACTCCCGAGCCGCCGGAATGAAGTACACGAGTATGTCGTTAGGAACAAGAAACGTTTATTGCACAAGAGAACACAGAAATACTCCGTATTGGAGCACAAAGAACGAGGTATAAGTTTGCGGATGAGAAGACACGTTCGATTGTTTCGACGGCTTCTCTCCAAATCTGTTTAAACATCGACGGCTTGTTGCCAGGCAACGCGTTTCTTCCTTTGATGACGGCGAACTCCGACGTATAACGGGCAACGATGCGATACGGGCATAACGCATGCAGTACGGGCATAACACTGCCCTCCTTCTTGCAAATTGTCGTCCCAACAATTAAGAAACGCTCAGGCTTTCTTCAAAAGAGATTCCGGGCTCCCCATCAACTTCCTGCCCCCCTACTGTGCTGCTGCCACAGTTTTCCTGGAGCGCTGGATTTCTTGGGATTCTCATGCCCGAGGCCT